GGGCCTTGCCCTCCCGCGTCCTGTGCCCGCCCCCCAGCGCCCGGGGTGGTGAGCGCCGACGCGGCGCGGAGGCTCACCGTAGGTGAACATGCGCGGGGAGGTGAGCTCGATGTCGGGCAGGGCGCCCAGGTGGTTCAGCACGGCGCAGCGGTAGCCGTTCCTCTGCGCGTAGTCGACGAAGGTGCGGATGTACTGCTTCTCGCTGTGGTTGGCGATCCCGGGGCAAATGACCATGGTGACGTCGTCTGCGGGCCAGAAAGACAGCAGTGTGGCCGCGAACAGCGAGGCCGGCTGCGGGCGGGGCCGGCTGCCTCTCCTCGCCGGAAGTCTCCCTCTGCGGCCGCGCCGGGCCCGGGCTTCCCGCGCCCGGGCTGGGGAAGGGCCGGGTTCAACAATCCCTGCCCGGCCTCTCCGGTGCCTCGGGGACGCGTCTCAGCACTGTGCCTGCAGGGCCTGAGTGCGATCCCTGGCCAGGAGGGGCCCCGGGCGCAGCGGACCTCGCCTGTTGCCACGCTGCCCCCCCCAGCAGTGTTTCTGCTCCCCACCTGTCTCCGGTGGATCCCCTCCCCCACCTCTGGCCTGCACCCCAGTCTATGAAAAAATAAAATCTTAAAAAAAAATTCCCAGTCCATGTGGATGGGCCACTCTTAAAAAATAGAATGAATTACTAGAAAAGTGAAAAGGTATAAATCTCAACTGTTTATTAAAAAGTTACAATATAAAGTTACTGTCAAGCTGCCTCCAAGTTTCTGAACATCACTCTCAATTTCTGTGGGAGGTGGGAGTGAGCACAAGTGGAAAACGAGGCAGCGTCGGCAGGGGCCTCCGCCAGGGCTCCCGAAATAGCCGGGCACGGCGAAGCAACAGGGGCTCTGTGAAGGCCACAGAGCAAAATACTAAGTCGCCGCCAATTGCCAAGTAACCAGCAGTACGTTATTTAGAGTATCCATTTTACTGTGCTGATTTATATTGACTAGTGGTCACGGAGTTAGTGCTGCCTAGTTCCTGAGGATATCACCCAGCGGCCAGGTGGTGAGGCGAGACGCAGCCCAGGCGCGCGAAGGAGAGCATTTACCACACAAGGGCGTAGGCGGCCAGTGTCCCAGGCAGGCCGTGGCCGGGCCCCTCCCTCCTGGGCGGCCGCCAGCCCCTTCGGATGTTCTGCCATGAGCACAAACTACCTCTTTGACAGCATGAACATGGATTTCTTTTCTTAAAAAAAAGAGGGGCTTATGTTAGTCTTTTTTTTTTTGAAGATTTGTTTATTTGTGCATACAGGACTGAGGTACAGGCCAGAGGCTCAGGGGCGGCGAGAGGCTTCACCCGAGACAGAGCGGGGAGCAGAACAGGCAGATCGACGAAGTCCACTGCTGAGGGGAGCAGTGGGCGGGTCAGGAGAGGTCTGCCACACCACGTGGTCACCTCCGGGGCAGGCGGGGATCGAACTCATGCGGAAGGGGCTTAAGCTTCCTAGTGCTGCGCTTTAACCCGCTGCGCCACCAGGGTGGGCTCCCCATTTTTTTTTTTTAAAGATTTACTTTTATTTATCTATGCCACAAGAACTGGGGTGCAGGCCAGAGGTGCGGGGGCTGCGAGGCTTCACCAGAGACAGAGTGGAGCGCAGGGCAGATGGACCCACTGAAATCCACTGCTGAGGGGAGCAGCGGGGAGACAGGCGAGGACTGCTGTTCCCTGGGGGGTCCCTCCCTGGCTGGGGATGGACCCAGGCTGCAGGGGTTAGTGCTGAGACTCAACCCCACGGCCATCAGGGCGGCCCCAGGTTATTAAATTTTAACCTGAATTTTCTTTTCAGGAGTGAAGCTGAAAAGCTACTTAGAAACTCTTACCATGGATGAAGAGCCCGAGGGCTGGGCCTCTTGGGCTCCCTTCCACGCGCTGCCCGAGAAGATGGTCACAGCGGCGTGAGGCGTGGACACGTCCCCCGCCGCCCGGGGCTCCCCGCCCGGCATCAGTCCACTCACCTCCTACACAGTGCTCCGCCAGGGGCTCGAAGAGGTCGAAGGTGGACGTGGCGCCGTCAGACATGGTGATGAACTTGCGGTGCCCGTAGGGGTGCGGCGACCTCACTCTGCCCATCTTCCCGTACAGCGCGGTCTGGATGTGGCCACTCTTGCCCCAGATGAGCGGTGGAATGTACCTAAAGGAGGGAGGAGAGCTCAGTGCTCCGGGTCCCTTCCCAGGGCTCAGGAAGACCTCGGAGCAAAGCCCTTCCGGTGTCTCCTTGACCGTCTGTACTCGGGGTGGATCTGAGCCCCCCGCCCCCCGCCACGCTGGCCCCGTTCTCCATTTGCTCATTCGCCCTGCATCAGGGCGGCTCGGACAGGCAGGAGTCCGTCTCGGGGTGGTAAGGGT